TAATTTTTTTGATAAAGGTTTTTCTTTTGAAATTATACAACTGCATTATGAAATTTTTTAAGTGTTAAATAATCATTCATTCATTGCTAAAACTGTACAAGATAATGCTACTGTACTCGTAGTTGCTATGTTTGAGAAAACTATATTGACAAGTAGATACAAGCAACATGGCTCAATTTCTAGGTTTATTCATAATACATTGTATGAGTTAACATTTTAATCTAGGAAAGATAATTAGCTTACATATTACATACTACACGGTGAATTACATTTTTATAAAAGTTGTTGCTAGCTTCAAATTTAATTTGATGTAGAATTTTTAATATGTAGGGTTAATTGACGATAGAATAATGGCTATGGTAGGACTTTTAACAATAAGCTTTTAAATCAATATCTAGATTCAATAGCGTTACAGATCCATATTCTTAGCTATGTTATACGTGCTGTACTTGTTGTTCTTGGTAATAATTTTAATACAATACGGTATTGGGACAAATTTTAAATGTAAATAAGACAGCTAAAAACGTTGCGATCGTTCTGACTAATTTACTCAATTTTCTTAATAGGAGCTGATACTTTTTGATACTTGCTGCATATTGAATTTTTCAACCACGTATTCTTACTTTACAAATTTTATCATCTTATCTAATTTTCCTTGTTATTCACTAAAACCTGTTAGGATACAAGGGATTTATCTCAGATTTTGTACGCGTATGTAGCATAAATAAAATGAAATGCTGCAAAGGTATTTTAGATTTATAGATAGGCTATAAAATATTGTTTGACGTTCCTTTAACAAAAGAGCATTGGGTGTACTTACCATGAGGTAAATTAACTTGCTATAATTTTCTAATCGCGTTGGTTTTCACGCAGATAACTCCAGTAGAATGCATTAACTGTAGATAATTTATTAATTCCACTTGACAGTAAAAAATATTCCAGTAGTTTTGAGGAAACAATGAGAAATTGTTTCATGGCTTCCGTTTACTTTCAACTAGATGGTACTCATTAATTTCTTGATATAGTTACAATATTAATTGAAATAATGACTATAATTATTATCGTTTAATTCTTAGAGTCTAATTTTATACTTGAAATCAGGCTACGACATACTATAGTATCGATCTACGTAGACTATTTTTCAATAAACCAACAATATCGTAATAGTTTGCATTGGGCCGGTAAATAATATTAGAAAGTGTGGTGTACTCCGAAGATCTCGATGCATGGGGTTCTACATGGGCCTCGGGATTCTCCTTTTGCTATCGTAGTCCATGATCCGTGCAATATACAGTATTGTAGAAGGCCTTTAGTATGCGGTCTCTCGTATGCAAAATTCACAGAATATTGTATATTAATCTTCTATATACATGCACGTTAAATCTTGATTTAGATTACATGAAGACGAGGCTAGAAGCCTATGTTTCTACTTTTGATAAATATACTTCGTAGTGCACAGGTATGTAACGTCGATATTTTTAGACCTCGCAGTAGCATTTGATAAACTGAGCGTTCTCCTTATAATTTTTGTAGCATCTATTACGAAATTGGCAAGATAATTAGGCTATTAAACATTAAATTTTTGCAGACTTGAAGATACTTTCCTCTACTTATGAAGTAGTTAATACCGTTCTCAGTATGACATACTGCATCCAAATAATTAATTTGTACGACGAGTGTTCATAGTTTATGTAAGATACATATATACTGCATCTGGGATATTTGTGGCGAGCGTTAGAGATTGCTACTAGTGATACTATAAATTGAAGTTAGTTTTACAATTGCGAAAGACTGTGTACACTATCTAGTTATAGAATATATTTTACTATTAGCTCGTGCTTAAGCGTGTTAATGTTAGGTATACGAGGGTTAGGCTATACAATCCATACTCAATACTCGCTAATATATAGAGTGCAAGAAAACTTGATGAGATTTTGTTCCACAAGACATTGAAAACATTGAATGCTAATCATTGGTGTAGTGTATATTAGGGCCGATTACTTTAGTTAGATAGGAGATAAAATATCGATGATGTTTCTTGGGTCCGTAATTTTTCTACAGAGCTCTAGACCGCCTACCAAGGTCCACTAAAGTAAAAGTCGTCAGCATTCAATGATTACGATCCTACAAACGTGTAGCTTTTGTCGGATTATCTATCATTTTTTGTTAGCTCTCAAACCCACCAATAGTATCCATAGGCATGTATGTTGTATATGTGTGTAGATATTCGATTGTATGGGATTGGCTACTTGTGCTCCAAATTTTCATAACAATTAATGCGCTGAAAGCATGAGCAATTGAGCATGCTAGAGTTTTACCGTTGTAAAGTAGTGTCAGTACACAGTAGAGCTTAGTAGAGCGCACTGCCATAATTAGGGGATCAGTAAAATAATAAGTGAAATTCCTTTTATAAATTTTAATAGTTTCTTTTTCTTGAAAGTATACTTTTGTATAGCATTAACTATTAATTGAGAAATGATATGGATGATATGAATTATGTACAATATTTAGTTAAAAAAAAAAATGAGTTTTAATCTACTATACAACTTTATGTGGCTTGGATACAACACAATTTACGCTTTTGTTTTAATTAATTGGTTTTTTTCGAAATTTTTAATTTATCTATTATGCTATCGAATGCATGAACGTATGTATGTGCGCTCCGCAGCTATTTTTATTTGACGGGAAAAAATGAATGAAATTCTACAATTTGCATACTTTTATAAAATTCGCATTATAACGCGCAGTACGTGGAACTGTGACGACTCCGCCATATGTTATAGTACTGTATTTTAGGCGTATTTTCATTCAGTAGAACTGATGGAGCTCACTCACACTAATCAAGATAGCCGGAGAATAAAAGGGACTACTCAAATTTAGGTGTATTTTCTGTAGCCTGGAGATTCTAAAACTATTTTTTTTACAGTCCAAAAACGTGATTTGGAGGTAAATCTACCTTCGTGATCGAATGGTCATGCTGGCAAGGTCATTCTTTTATATGTCGAGTTTTAAGAGTTATTCCTTTTGACAGTACAGTACTGAAAGAAAATCTTACAGTGTATATACTGTGAAGTCCCTGTACTGTACACTGTACTGGACTATACTGTACTGTACTGAAGCTTTTTCTTTTATTTTTTTTACTCCATTTGGCGTCAAAGAGTTCTGTACAAATATTTACAGAGGACTGTACTGACTACTGAGTGAGTAGCACTACTGTATTGAGTGGAGGGTACAGTACATTGTACACTGTAAATTACAATACAATGTACTGTAGCCGGACTGTACTGTACTGTGTTGTATGTGTAGACCAAGGCTGTTCAGTCATTGTAGCACTGGTGTACAGTATTAACTGAGCATACTGTAACCGTATTGTGCTGTACTATAGTACACTACTGGAAACTTCAGCGAGTGGATGGCAAAAAATTCGATTTGTAGACTGTAGAACTTGTTCATAATCTATCTACTGTTAGTACAATTATTTTCATTTGGTTTTATCTTTTCCAACGACACTACAGGTTCAAATTGACTGTAGTTGGAATGGACATCGGTGCGATTCAAGTGCACCGTTTTAGTTTACCGCATTTACCACTGGATCGTACTATACCTAGGCATGTATTAGCTCATCGTCGTGGCGCAATCAGCTTTAGCTCAGGTTCATCGCTCTTTGAAGGATTACCAAGATTAGAAGTAAGTTACTTAAATTAATAATTATTTAATGCGATGTGCTATCCGCTTCCATCTACCACACGTTACTGCGCCTTTACAGTTCATACGGTGTTGATTGCCTTCTCGGTTTTGGTATACTGTACTGTATGATAACGATGAAGAAGCTCTTTTTTGTCTTGGCAGTCAATACAATCTTCTTTTTATTTTAATTGAAAGTGTATAGTAGAGTCATAATTTAACATGGAAGGTGATTTTATTCGATGTGATTAGTATGATTTCCATCGTTGGCATTTTCTGTACAATAGCGTTCTTGTAAATCATACATTCAGGTACTGTATGTAGTACGTATACTGTACTCATTTGATACTAGGTAATTCAATTAATGACGACGGTACGTGTTCATATAATTAAGTACAGTACAGTACAATACAGTACAGTACAAATCTTTTCACTACACTACAGTATATTGTACTGTACACTATGGAAGTTTTTGTTCCTGCGCACTACACTACAATAAGCTAGACTACACTAGAGACTTGAAAGGGTCTCTACTGGACGTACTGTAAATTGTCAACTTTTGAAGCGTGTACTCACCCACGCACGTATGTTTATTTACTGACCAAAGTTACTGAGTATTTCAATACTAGAACTCATAAATGAGCAAGAATACGCACAGACGATTATGCCAAACTAAACTTACAAGTAATGGCACGTTCTATCATGAATTTAGGATCCATATTAGTGTAAATAGGCTACAACGGGACAATACAATACAGTAGAGTACTGTGCAACTGCTCAATTCTTTTCTGAGGTTACCGGTAGAGCGGTAGACAATTGCAACTGGACAGTACCAATGTCCTACACTGGTGTAGTGTTGAACGAATAAAATGCTAATTGAATTCCGCCACGTTTAGCATAAAATATTGCAGACTTGGTTACTTTTACCATCGTGAATAATATTCATGGCCCTCACATTCGATACGCAAATTCATTTTAACTTTTGTCACGAATTTTAGTACAGGCATTATTGGCGTACTTTTCATCAAAGATTGAAGGTACACTTGTAGTTCTGATAAAGTAAAAACTGACAGTATATCACCTATGAGCAGAAGAATCCATCCTATTCAGACTTGCTAAAGCTTTACCCGCTGAATATGTAGAAGTAACATTAATGACTGAAGAGTAAATTTGAATATAGACGGTACTTCTACTTTTCGGTAAAATGTAGAATATACCGAGGTCATTGCTGTCCAAGTTTCAACATTTTTTTCGGCAATCCTAAGGGCTTCTGTTTTGCCACATAAAATTCTCATGTAACAAGCATTATGAAATACAAAGCCAGCAAGACTGTATCGTATCGACCAGTGTGAATTTCATGATATTCATGATTTACTTAGCCACCATGTTGCCATAGTCATTCCTGCGTTTTTACTGAAGGATGTTGAGGCTTTTGCCTTTTATCAATACTCCAATATTGAGTATATGCGTGGACTATCTATAGTCCTTAGTCCTAGCCATTGGTATTTTAAACTAGATATTAAGTGGCATCGTTGAATATTACATGAGCCATATTTCCGTGTTATTGTACAAAATTAGTAACGTAATTGCTGCATGCTGAAACTGATTCAATACATGTTGATATATTACGGTAATGTACATCGTTTATTGAAATATCAATACAGCAAGTTCTGAACATCAAAAATGAATCTACGTCGAATTTATCGTTATTAGTAGGTGTGGGAGTGCAGCCAGGATTCCTGTAAAAACACTCAAGTGTACTTCATGTACTCGTATGATATGTGTTGATATATAGTATTTAGCGTTGGCTACATACGGTACTGTAGTTGTACATTCGTAATTGAAGATTTATAATACATCAAGTCTGTCATTTCAGTGACTACAAGCACGACTATTTGTATGACGGTAATAGAAAATTTATAGCAGTAAATACCTCATGGTTGATGATTTGTAGTTGGTGTTATGTTAATTACATGCATACGCGAACATAGGTCTATTAATAAAATTAGTATATTTATATTGAAGGGGTTTGATACACGGCAAAGTGAATGATATCGTGTGATATACGGTATTGTTGGAAAGTTGAGTACTGTATTCTAGATTGTGTTGGATTTACTCCTAGGTCAGCCAGGATGAAAATTGTACATTCATCACAGAATTACATTTAGCGTATATTATTTAAAGCTTCTCGGTAAATCTATCGAAGGGTAATGCGCAACACCGCAGCAGAGTAGAGTCAATGCCATATTATACAAATGAATACAGCAGTAAATCATAACATAGCGCCGTAAAGATTTTAAACCCAAATTTAAAATTGCCGATATTCTTAAATCGACTAGGAGAAGATAAAATTGAGTAGTTGATCTCTATTGTGTTTTATGTAAGATTAGTATTCTGCTAACTATATTGTTGCCACAATTCATTTTTTTTGTATTGAATTTAATGATAGAGACGAGGTGGTATCTCCTACGATCGAAACGATATTGATGCGCAATACGTTCGAATGCTTGGTAAGTTTCAATTACTTTACGATTAAAACCGTGGGTTAACTAACTCTAAATCATATCGGAAATACGCTTCAGCTTGGAGTGTATAATGTATTTATGCAGCATCGTAAATCCTAGAGGTAGATTGGCGCGTGTTAAGATGCACTTTAGAGTATAGTCTGTAGGCATAAGGTAGAACGTAGGTAACAAACGTATGATATGAATTGATTGGTCGATATTTCCCTTTGGCTTGTAATGAATCAACAAAATGAATTTGCTACTAAAGCTGATTTGGTTGACTGTAGGATAGCTGGCATTAGAGATTGCAACTTGCTGTCTGCAGAGTTTAGTTTGGTCTAGCTGTACAGTACAGTACTGTATGTGCGAATTCGATCAATGGAATATCCATTTGCAGTCCTTAAATAACAGTGTCCAATTTGATCAGTGGAATATTCATTTGCAGTCCTTAAATAACAGTGTCGAATTTGATGAATGGAATATCCATTTTGCAGTCCTTAAATAACAGTGTCCAATTTGATGAATGGAATATCCATTTTGCAGTCCTTAAATAACAGTGTCCAATTTGATGAATGGAATATCCATTTTGCAGTCCTTAAATAACAGTGTCCAGTTTGATCAATGGAATATCCATTTTGCAGTCCTTAAATAACATTGTCGAATTTTTCATTGATTGATTTCCGAACGAAATGATGAAAGATTTAAGTTAAGCGTTCAATGTAGAATAATATTCAAGCAAGTGCGGTTGAAATCGTGTTGATTTCCTTGGAAACTGTTGACACTCGTCTGGCACGGTACTGTCCAGTGCATGCGAACTCTGTCAGCAGTGAGTGTACACTGACATCATACGATAATCTCCAGTATCTGGTGACAAAAGCTTACTGAGTACAGTACTGCCATACAGAAGCTGTAATTGGTATTTTGTCTGTCACACGTCCGTCCCACCCTGTACAGGACTGTACTGTACTGTACACTGTACTGGACACTGTACAGTACAGTACACGACTGTACAGTACTATACACTGTACACGACTATACACTGTACACGACTGTACTGGACTCACGGTACGTGTCCAAAGTGAAGCAGTCGTTAGCCGTATATAATGCCATCCAGTAATATCATTGGCCATCAGTTACCGTTGAAACGTTGAAACCGCAGCGATGAGTGTTTGCTAAAGTTTTTTCTTTTGCTTGAACACCATGATATTGTACAGGTGACATTGGAATACGAAGAAATTTGGACAAGTCACGTAAAGCAAATCGACTTGGTAGTATGGCTAGATTGCCGCAATTGCCTTCATCAACATTGATCAACGAAAACGGTAAAAAAATATTGTCAGACTTATTCAATGCGTGTGTGTGTGTGTAGCAGGATAGACAAAAAGTCAACATGGACTCTTGTATTTGATATCACTTGTCTACTCTACAGTTATCAGACTACTACAACCTTTGTACAGCAGTAAAGTATGGCAGTAGATGGCTATTGAAATATGCCGCTTGTCGGCTAATAAACGCTATCATCCAACGAGGTCTATATACAGTTCTACCAATACTGTCGAATAAAAGAAAAAAGCTAAACCACTTCAAAATAAAATCTGTCAATATAAAAGTAAATACTCTACACGACAAGGTAGTTTATGAATCATCACTCTTCACACAGATAAGATAACTCACGATTGTAGATCCATTTTTACATGTGTTGTCATTGATCCAGAAATAAGGGCAAAAGCACTGTCATACTAGACACTTTAATGTACAGTAAGTAAATAGATGCAAGATGAATTGCAATGCTACTGCATACGATACGGCATTGCCCTGTGCAAGATGCAATAAAAAAATACTTCAACTGTCGCTAGAATCAGCGATCGTTTGTCATTGAAACGTATTTGCAAGCAAGCACTGGCAATTTTGGGAGAGGGAGGCCATGAGAATATCGCACAATTTGGAATTTCTTTACCAAAATAATTTTCTTTGTTGTTTTCCATGATACAGTATCTAGAGATAGAGTAAAGTTAGGCTGTTGCCTATACGTTTCTTCAATCTAGACATTTCCTTATTACAAATAGTCATAGGCACTTTAGGGATAATCGGATCCAAATTTCAGTCTGCTTATAGGCCGTATCTGTTGATTGGAACAAAGGCAACTTTGACGTAATTTTTTTTTTTTTGTCATCTTTTCCTCATCACTACTTTGATGAGAGTAATAGGCCACTATGGAGACTGTACTATACTATGGTGCGTTATTACTCGATGGGAAATTGCATGTAGTCCTAAAATATACCATACACTAGCGTTAGTTTATTTTTTGATCATGCCGTAATTAAAATGATAAATTTGATCAATGAAAACCAGTTTGTTTACTCATGATACACCAATATGCTCGTCAATTGCGATTTAAATTAGGTTGATCGGGTGATAGTGTTACGCTAGAACAATTTATGTTAGTAATATACTACTATTTTTTTGAATTTGCTTTCAATGTCTATTTGTTAACATTTCTATACATTATTGTCTCTTGTCGTTTAGATACTTCAACTACAATCAACGAAACTACCGTAGACAATTGTACTGCAAGGCGGCGTTATAGAAATTGCATGTTGTTACGACGATCAAGTATTGGTACAAAATTTAGTGATAACAAAAGCTATTTCAATGCATCCAAGCACACTCATTTACCGACGCTGGTCTTGGACACCGAATATCCTGGCCTAACGCAGGTAAATAAGTTTTTTGTTACTGTATTCTATTCTCATGCTATTAGCTGTAAATACGATATGCTTACCATTGCATCCTATTCAATGACTATGCTTACAGTATTTCTATTATGGGTCAAATTAAATTGAAAATAATTTCAACATTTTATCCCTGCTCTTACAATAATGCCTAGTTGTTGTCCACCAACAAGACGCTAATTGCAATCTAGTACACTTCAACTTAAGCAATACACCAAAGTCTTGTTTTTCTAAAAATTGTATTTATTGGAAATCGGATTATACGTGCACAGTTCACATTGACGTCGGTAACATCCTCTTTAGTGCTGCCATAGACCAAAGTTAGACAATGATATTAGTGAAGCATTGTCAATAACCATCAATAAAGTACTTCATAACTATTTTACGGTATCACATTGAATCACCCACCACTCACTTCTACTTATAGCTTTACATGATGATCCAACAGACTGACTAGTTTCGCCGTTTTGATATGGAGCACAAGGCATATACAACAGTACTGTTCACCCGTATATAGCACAGTAGATGTGGACATTTTATAAATATTGCGTCTTGTTACTATGTTACGTCTGAACGCGTATTGTTTAATTAATAATATTATTATCATCATCGGGTGAAAAATTATTGTTTATTTGTCTGACAAGTAGAGAGATAAAAATGGAAAATGGAGCATAGAAGTACGGTATATTTTAAATGTATGTGATTTTACGCTAATCGGGACACAATAGTTTACCTAGTAATATCATCTAGCAGCGATGGTACGTTGTATCATTCTTTCATTGGCAGTGCAAGATACCATCTTTTCGCAAGTGATTGACCATGTCTACCTTGGTATACATACATACACCAATTGACACTTTCCAAATAGAAATCTACTTTCATCTCCTTGACATTCTTACTGCATTAACGAAATATCCAGCTAATAGGACCTATTTCCTCATCAATTTCCGGTAAAAAGTTAATCGATGCTTTTCAAGTCTCATACGTAAAAGCCATATTGCTGGCATTACTACTTTTCATTGACAGCGATTACACAAGAAGCTAAAATAGTTGTTGGCGCGGTTCATAACAGTGCATACTTTTATCTTGATCGGGCAGTCTTTATAGCACTCTTGTTAACTTTAATTAAGTATACTACAAAATAAATAGGCGGATTCCTGTCATTACTTGCATGGAACATATTTTATACTGCCTGATTTTCTCATATCCTTAGTGAGTCATTGCAACGACTGAATCATTTTAAATGAAGAAATTTTAATTTGAGATTATATTGATCGTTAAAATCGATTGCTATCTTTGAGCTTTTAATAATGCATAATCAAACTTTAATTCTTTTATTTTGCTTTAAATCATTAGACGATACGATAATTTTCGATGCCGTATAAATTGCTGCATTTTTACATACCATTACATCCATAAAATGTACTTATGTAATTTATGAATACCAGTCGATTAGTAAGCGTATTAACAATACATGCAATTTCATTACTTTGTAAGCCACAAACGTATCACAAGAATTTTATATATACTGTACAGTATATTGAATAATAGTGTTGATCATGACACTATGTTCTCATCCTAACAGTGTTTAGTTTTATATTCAATTAGCTCATATTTGATGCTTCAGGGTACTTTATAGCTTCAGGCAGCAGACTAAATTGCGTTACTTCATTCTTGCAATTGACCATTTTGCAGGTGTTGTCATTAAGTGAATTAATACGTTTATATACAATATTTATGAATCGTTGCTACAGTATTGTGCTTACTAAAATGTATAAATAGCTAACATATTGGCAAGTAAGTCTTGAAACAATAGTAAACGCGTATCAATGTATAATTGCTCTATCGACAACTAGCAACTATAGATCGTTGTTATACACTTATAACTTGTAAGCATAACATCGTAACGTATTGACCACGAGATATAATCAATTTAACATCCGATAATGATAGCTATCATACGAGATATGCTATAGACCAGATCGTTGAGTAGAGTTGTAAGGGAAGAAAATATTTTATAACTTTGCACTCCTGAAACTTCGTGTTAATGTACAGTATGACGTAAAGGTTCTAGTATTGATCCGGTTCTACAGGATCTTAATGGATTAATGAACTACATGTTTTTAAAGGATAACATACGATTATTATTTATATTGTATATATATATACATTTGTATCACAATGTGATAGTTGGAGTGTAAGGTTATAAATTTAACTTGATCTAAATAGTTACTGTTAAAGCTTGATATAATGCATCATTGATTTTCGCTAAATACGTACGCAAACTGTAAAACTGTTGATATGCAAAAAAAATTATTATGCTTTGTATAGCAAGACAATATTGCCTTATACGGTAGTTGCATAAATCAGATTCAAGAAGGATTTTAATAATCGCAGATTCCTCTCACCGTCGGAGACGAAGCACCATAATTAACTTAACATACCCCAATTTCAATTCTACCTTATCAGTTATAATGATCGCTACCGGGTTATCAATTTCAGATAATCAGCAGTTGATACTGTATTGAATTCTATAGGTATTTATTTTTTTAAAATTCTCATTATTTTTTTTAATATTCCCTCCTCAAGCACGTAACTTCGAGCATGCATATAAATTAATTAAATTTACAATATACGCGTATATTGTAATAGAGATGTGTGCGTATCATCCTGATCATTAATCGAGTTATTGTTTATGACGTACTGTATACATTTTGGCGTTTTATCTATTATATTAATCCTTTGAAGTTCCCTTTGGCCTTATATAGTGTATAATCGTTATTGCAATAGACAATATACATTTCAACGGTATGATGCCATACAATACTGTACTTGTACATATTTTAAGAGACTGTACTATTTAAAAGGGGCTTTAGTAGTTAGCACAGATCTCGAGATATGCATCTTGAACTACTTCAGCTCCGTATAGTATATATTTGGTGTTGTTTTTTACCGTTGTGTAAACTACATTGTCTGTGCGGCACATAGAAATTATAACAGAAATTTTCGTTGTTTTGTACCTTGCAAAGAATGTTTATCGCGGCAATGCATTGTAGCTCCTCAAACTTTACCGGATCCCCTATAAGTGCACAATGTACAATGTTAAACGGTGAATCGAAGAGTCACTTGGGATCTTATCATTCCATCCTAAATGATAGTATAGTACTGTGATAATATCTTGTAAGCTTATAATCAGGCATGTAAACGAAAATATTGCTAATAATCCAATATTAGTTACGATAAATTGTTATTCATAGTAATTCAAGCCAAAATTAATTAATACTTTACTTTATTAAATATATAATTGTAATAGAAACGTATAAAGTATTTACAAAGCTAATAATACTATACTGTAGTCAGTTACAAGTTAAATGCATTTACCAATACAATACAAATAATGGGAAAAATATAGATCTGCTCGACTGTATACTATACAATTCAGGCCAGTGGCAAAGAGCCTATATTTATCCCCGTTATTGTAGATTTTAGTCCTCGGGTAATAATTTCTTGGTTGATGATTTAGCTTTAAATTATGGCACATATTGATTCTTGTATGATATAATCTATTTATATGTTACATTCATATATCCACCAATATAGAAACTGATTGTTGATATTTCACAGATGTTATTAGATAATGCCGACGAATGGGAATTTGATACAATAAAACTGGATTTAGTAACAAGAGGTAAGAAATATGCTATTCTAAATCAGGGTAATATTACCAATTCGTTTCCTTATTTAGTTTACCGTAAAAGAATGAAGGTTTTCTAAATTACTATAATTCTAATTCACATCTGTGCAAGGTACACACACCCTGCAAAATTTTCTCATTTCTTAACGATATACTTAGGCTAAAACTGGTACTCTACGCATTTTTACATATTATCCCTATAAATATATGAATAGCTAGTAAATTTCATGATATATATATATATATATCTATATCGATTGATAATAGATCAGAAGTATTTCTGTAAACAATAAATAAAGCAGTAAAATTTTTCTTTTATTTTATCATAGACTAGCGTGACTTGATACTAGAGACCTATATACATAAACTTAAATATTTTTCATAGTTATGGATTTAAACTTTTTCTCTTTATGCGATATTTCGCTATTTAGGCTTTGTTCTGTACGGATAACGTTAATATTTGATAGTATATAGGCTTTACTGACTCGTATACTTTAAATTTATGCCCATATACCTTAGGGCATAATAGCTTTTGATATACTGAGGC